TTAGTCAGATGCCTTTTAGACTCCAGCAGACAGCCTTCTCATAATCGTTGCTCTTGATTAACCGCTGCTGATGTAGAGCAGGGCCTGTGCCAGCTGCCATCCAAAACTAACCTCGCATCAGAATGGCAAGTAGCAGTTTCATCAGTATTGCAGATGTTGTCATCACGATTGGCCTCATCGTTGGGCAACAGCTTGCTCACTGGCTCGGAGGGAAAATCCAAACTAAATTAACTAGAATGTGTGTGCGCCGCATGGAATGGAGTGAATATAAACTTGGCATGTGTCATATTTGGTTGACTGAATTTTAATAATTAGGTTTCCATGTGTTGCTCAAAATCATTTATACAATTTTTAGCTTGAACAGAAGAACTTAAGTGTTAATGACCTTTGGCTGTGAAATCGTTTCCATTTTTTTTGAACCTCACAGATAATTTAGTCTGACACAATATATCAATAGCTGTTGGATAGATTACCAAGAAATCTGTTATAGACATTCCTGATCCCCTATCCTAACGACCTGGGTTATACCCCTAACCTTTACCTAACTTTATTTATCTAGCACATTTCATGCACAGAGACAATTCAAAGTACTTTACCTTTCATACAGTAACAGCAACAAAAACAATGAGCATTAAAATCAGTTTAGATGAAGTGAAGATAAAACTTTTAAAATAAAATAAGGACAGATGGACAAACAGTCTGAAACAGTTACAGTGCAGAAAGTGCAGCAGAGAAACCAGTCAAACAAAGGCACAGGATTTTCAGTTGAGACTTGATTGTAGCAGAGTTGGGGCACATTTAGGATCATCAGGAAGTTGGTTGCATCTGTGTGCAGCTTCACCTGGTTTGTTTCTGACCAGGGGTTCTACCAGCTGACTACTCGAATCTCAGAGCCCTCACTGGTCCAGCGTGTGAATTCCTGACTGGATACTCCAAGCTAAGAACCAGGCACACCTGAAAAATCATCCCAGCCTCCTTCTGCCCATCAATCCACCCTCAGAGGCCGTGGATCCAACCATGGCTTTGGATACTGGATTTATCAGTTGTATGTTAGTGGAGCGGCCCCAAAGTCCTGTCGTTTCATTCTGCTGACACCCGCTTGCCACCCAAGTCCTGGCATCTGCCTTGGATGGGCAAATACGGACACATGGTTTCATATGTTACTCCATTTTTGTTGGAGCTGTCCAGTCCTTGATCCAGCCTGATGGATTTCTGCTCTGCCTGCCAGACCACCAGTCATGCTCCTGCGCTCTAGTGTTGATGGCACAAGCAACTCCAATCACTTACTTAATCAACTGAGTGTGCTCTTGTTAATGAATTCATCCATCCTCCTCCAAATCTGCTTTATTTTTCAGCCTCCCTCGGGAATGCAGACAGTTGCTCAGGCCTAGGTTCAGTTTAGAGAGGCAGCCAAAGTTGTATCCTGTAATGCTTCAGGATTTAGTATGCTTAAAACAAACTAGTTTGTACGTCATGTCAGCCAACCATGTCAAAAGGCAATAGTTTGCCACTTGATCCCTCTCCAAGAATCTTTAGCCTTTGCATGTGTTTGTTGTTTCAACAGAATGAAGTGAACCAAGCCAGATAGCTGCTCACATTTTGGACAGTCTCTCCCCAAACATATCCATGGTGTTGCACTCAGGTATACACACATAAAATGACAGAAGTAGTTGTTTGAAAAAGGAAAAATGGAAGGTTAATAAAGAAGATCAAACCCTACCTTCATTTTTCACTTCCACACACCTGGCAAATCATTGTGCAAAGTAAGTGTAATTATCTGTATTGGAATGTTCTGACAGTAATGTGCTTCTGTGTGGGAAAACATCTGTTCAAGTACAAAAGAGTTAAAAACATACACAGTGCCTCATTAAACTGCTAGTTTTTAGAAACAAAACTTGATTCCTTAGTGAATGGGTGTCAGTCTGTGTGTTTGCATACATGAGAATGAATTAGAGAATTTGTGAGGGTAGCCATCACATCTTATGATCAGGGTTTTCTGGAAGTGTGCTCCGGATTAAGATTCTTGAGTTTGTTGTTGGGGGAAAAAGGGAACTCTTAGACAATCTAAGTAGCACTTTGTAAAACATATATTATTTGCTTAAGGATTTTCAGTTTGTTTTGTACGACATTATGGATTTTAAACTGTTACTCTTTGTACAGTTGCAGCCTAAAAACCAGGCGTCATATTTGGTTTAGTTCAGGGCAAAGATGACTAATTTGGCCATTAGTGGTAAAGGCCACATCTGTCCAAAACAAACGCTGTCCTGAATTATCACTTACACTTTTGCTGACTTTTCAGTCTAACTCCAGGATCGGATTAACTCAAATTTCTACCCTTCAGTTTGAATTACTAAAATAGTGTAGGTCTTATTTTTAAATTACAAGAGAAGAGGGTCAATGTGCATTTTTTATTTTTACAAATTCAACAGCAGGCCCCCTAAGAGTGAGGCCTTCTGTGGGCCTACCATAAGGGTTTCAAGTTTTCAAGTCCAGACTAGTGATTTTATCTATTTTTATTGTGTAAATGTTGCATAACCTAGTGATGACAACAAGGAACTATTGTACTGCCAATTTGTGAAAGAAGAAACGACAACCACTTGGGAAACATCAAGAGATGACTGCTTCCACGTCCTCCCTCGCATCTCAGGCTGCTTAGAATAATTTGAAACCCCTAGGTTGTTTTCCCAGGACGCCAAGTTTTCAGAAGGAGATGAAATAAACAGAATCTGAATCCAAAGCTCCTTAGTGAGGGCCCTTCACAGTAACCGTTGAGTGACCAGGCAGTCTGTTCTGATATTTTTCAGCAGGTTCCAGTTCCAAAGCAGTTGTGCTTTACTGCTGTTATGATGCTCTCTCTGCTTATGCCCAAACAGTGAAGGGTAGCCCTGAAATGAGTACATGCATCTTTGGGCTAGTCTCTTTTCTACTAAAGGACATACTGTAGTTTCCATTTACAAATGACTAATAATGGTTTCACGTCTTGGCGCTCCACCCTCCAACCTTATTTGTTTGCACATATAAACACACATACAACGATGCACAAGAGATCCTAGACAAATAAATAAATTCGTCTTACTAAGCAGTTGGATGTGTTTGGCACCTCACAAGGTTTCATAAGGGGCTCCACTCCCAGCTTGGCTACACTCCCAAAGTGCCTGCTGCTGCTTTTGCAACCTTCAGCTTTACCTCTTCACTCTTTGCTTACATCCATGTAAGTGAGAAAAGCAACAACTGTCAAGAGGCTGGAACCAGATGTTTGTATTGCTTCTTAAAAAAATGACTAAAATGATTCATTTTCAAAGTAGGGGTGTTTATTGAACAATCATTATACTGTATTAACCCAGTAATTCATCAAATCACAGCATATTTAACGTGACCATGCTTTGATTTTTTTTCTTGTTTCAAAAAGAAAGTTGTTTTTTTTTTTTTTTTAAAAAAAAAATTTTTTTTTTTTTTTTTTTACTCCCAGAATGAGCTGAAATCTCCAAAGTAAAGGCAGATAGCTATACAGCACTCTGTTTTAAAGGTTTTAAAAGTTAAATGACACAAAAGTTTTATATTTTAGATATCGAAAAACCTCCAGTTCATAACCTTCAGTTATGCTCTGAATTTCTTATGGTGAGTATGAAAGCCCTAATAACAGGGTCTCTTGCATGTACCTTACAATTAAGCTTTGCGTCTTTCTGAAGGTATGTTTAATCTTTATTCCTCAGATGCATCAGGGCCTCTGTCCTCATCTGAAGGAGAAGAGGTTGATGAATCAGCTCCACCCTAATTATGGCCAGTTCTGTGGTGTTGGCCAAAGCAACTCTTTGTATTTACATATAGGTCTCTGAATGTGGGACATGTGACTCTGGAAGAGCAGGTTTAGCATCAGCTTGAACTTTCTGATTTATTGCCTGTGTTCTGTTTCTTAGGGAAAGTAACAGTTTTACTTTTGGCATTTCACTTGGATTTATCTACACTGTGAAGTCATATTCATTCAAACTTGACAAATTAGCTGGCTACCATAGTTCAAATGTCCGCAAGTGATAGTTGACAGCAAGTTACTGATATTTGACTCTGTTTAAAAGATCAAAAAAACGGTGGCATTGCATGCCCGAGCGTTCAGTTTAGTCATATGGTCGACTCTTGGATGAGAATTTCTTCCATTGTATAATTATTGAGACCACTGTGCCACTGGGAACACTCAAATCTTTAGAAACGGGTTTATACCTTTGCTGCTACTCTGCCTTGTTACAATTTTAGTGTTCCTTGGTCTTTGTGGCTTAGTTTTGTCCTGACACTGTGAATTATGAGACCTTACATGCACAGTGGTGTTCACCTTTCTAAATGACGTCCTGTCATGTGTGTACTGATCACGTTCTAGACACAACTCAGGGATAATTAAATCAAACAAAAGATGCACCTGACCATAATTTTCCAAACATGTCTATGAGCATGTTTCCCCAATGTCACTAAAAGTTATTGAGCCTAGCTCGATTGCCAAAAGTAGCATTTTTATCCATTTAAAGTTAGATCTACCACGCAAAGTGCAGAAAATGGTATTACTTTTTGTTGGCTGTTCCTGCACCATGATGACAGTTGTAGATATGAATGTAGCAACTGTTTAGGGGATAAATGTTTGGTTGTAGAGCACGCCCAGCAACCCAGAAAACCCAGACACGTTTAATAGATTCTGCCCAAAGTAGAAGTGTTCATTATGGGATATCCACCAGCTGTTGTCTTTTCATTAAGTGTATATGTCATGATCTCCATGGTGACTTTTTTTTTTTCTTTCATTTATACACATGCTCAGTCACACAGATGGACACAGTTTTGGAAGCAGCCATTCATATTGTATTGTACAGATGAAGACTGAATCCATTTTATACTCTGAATATAAACAAGAACAATTGTGTTTGACTGTGAAAAGGACACTGGCCTCATCTGTCTGTGTTGGCATCAAATGTTACTGTTCAAGCTGAAACTAAAAATGAATTTCTCTGTGTCTTATTCAGAGAAAAACGGTTCATGTGGCACCTGAAGCTTATTTTTCCTCAGAGCAGTACGGAGTTCAGTCAGAGGAGGTGAGTTGCATAAGAATGTTCAGTAATGTACTTGTATCATCATCATCATCCTGTTTTAATAACTGAAAGCAACTGTTTGAATAATCAGGAGAACTTTTTGCTGTAGAGAGCGTTTTGTGGATTTCTGCTGACGTCTGCAACTTGGCAAGAGTGAACATTCAGAATCTATATGTGTTTGTAAAGTGATTACTGAGCTTCACTGAATTGTTATCCAAGTTACAACACTGATTTGACTTAATATGGATGTTCACATATTTCCTCTCACATTTGCTTTTTGTTCTTTGTCCTTTTAGGGTGGCTGACGGGCAAACCTTGGAGCAGATCTTGACCTCTTATATCCACCCTACAGACTCGAACCCAGTGACACGTCAGAAGTGAGCTTTGTCCCATTAACATTTAAGTGTAGTGTGACATTTTTGTTCTGATTGTTTGTAGGGATGTATATACAGCATTTCTCTCTTTTTTTCCCTGATAGTGAATTAAACATCCAAGGATACTGGGAGACTACCTGTCTGCATTCTGTTTATTACCAATGTGTAAACCTCGGGAAGTGAGAAAGATATGTGCAAGCTAACGCGACTGTAACTGCAGATTACCTCTTAACTATAAATAGAGACATCACTGCACCTACATACTATTCAGGCTTGTGGAGATGTGTTTATTTATTTTTTTAATTGTTTTTTTATTTATTGGCATCACTGATAAGTACTGTGTATGTAGTTTAGTCACCATGTCTGCTAAGTTATATTGAGCTTGTTTATTGCCATTGGCCATAATTCCCACTGAATCCTGGAGCAAAGCCTGAAAACTTATTTCATGTGTTCAACTACTTGGTTGTTTTGATTCAGTCACCGTCGTCATGAATAGAAACAGAAAACGTAACAGTGTGATAACAGAGCAAAACATCATCACCACTTTAATAGGTGGTTTGGAAGACCTTTATGTTAAAGGATAATGAGGACCACTGAATTTGTTGTTTTCTCTTGAAAAGTTCAAATGAGCAGTTTTATTGTTTGCAACAACAACCATGAAGCTGTGTTGAGTTAGTTAGTGAAGTCTCTTGTTCGTAGCGGCTGGGGGAGAGAGTGGAGAAAGCATAGCTAATTGAATTACTCTCAGTAATTGCCACAGTGATATTTGCACTTTAGCAGATATAAACATTGTGTTGTAGTTGCATTCATCTGCTACTGTATTCTCATGGGAATATAGGAGCTTTTTGTATAGTGTAAAATTGTGTTGCAGCGTAGCATCACAGCTGCATATATGAACCATTTGTTAAAACACAGAAATACACTGACCTGTTGTTGTTCATTTAAACATATCAGCCATTTGTAGCCATGACAGCAGCTTTGGGTTTGATGACCTGTAGCAGGTCTACTGCTGCCTGCACACCAGACCAGAGCCCCTTGTAACTGAGTTTGGTGGTAGTGTCTGTAAAGATTATGTCTCAGTTAAAGAGTAAGTACAGTCAGCCTGCACAAACAAGCAGGAATAGATTGAGACACATATATAACTCTTCACATTCACCAAGTATTTTATTTGAAGATGGTTTTTCTCAACTGAAAATTTGTGGTGCCATAATATTTTGTGCAGTTGATGTTAATTTCCAACAGTTTTGGTAAATATCCTTGTTAGTGTTAATCCACTTGAATTTGAATGTTTCCCATGAAGTGTATGAGTGAGAGGAGTGGCTGCTTTTAGTAGGTTTCACTGATTTCAATGCAGCAAACACAAAAAGCCAGCGAATGTACAAAAAACCTTTTCTGTCCTGATCTTTCATATCAACCACCTCAGTCCAACTTTAGTCACGTAAGATTTTGTTGGGGTCTCTCCATGTTCTAATTCCCACAGTGTTACTTTCCTACATTTATCATTGTATTTTTGCTCTTGCTTCACAGGCTCGTGTTTCTCCCTGCCAGCGCTGCTCTTTGAATACAGCACACTCAGAATTTCTAGTCTGACACCCCTAACAGAACAGAGATCTGACTGCTCTGACACAGTGCACTGATAACAGTAAGCAGCCTACTGTAAAACCTACAGCAAGAGCATATTGTAGACCAGTGTAGCAATCTAAATAGACACCAAACATGGCCCAGAGCCGGCCTCTGCTTAGTCTTGATTTAGCGGGTGAGTGGAGGCGACCTATCCGTGGCTCAGTGACAGTTTACAGTGGGCTCAGTGCTCTGGATGTCAGTAGGATGGAGATGAGTGCCTATACATATATCAGTCAGTGTCACCTAATGGGGTTTCTGCTGTGCTACACTCAGTCAGCTCTTGGAGTTGATTCTCTAACCTCCTATGTTGATGTGAACCTCTGTTTCAGGTTGAAGATTTATGTGCAAAGTCCATTTGATCATGTGAAAGTCTTCATGAAGGCAGAGGGGAGGAGGGCTAACTCTGTCAGGTGAGAATGGCTCTCTACCTGTCACCTATCTTCTTTCCCTTGACGAACGCGTGATACATCATAATTGTCAAAGAACATGTTTTCAGTTTTTTTTGCTGAAAAGGGTTCAGGGCCAAAACAGGTCATGGTTTGTTAGGGCTGAACAACTTGCTGACAGGGTCAAGAAGCCAATCATGAGGTTTCTTGTTACTTAGCATTTCATTAGACTTGCATAATAGTCATATGATGTTGTTGTTTTTTACCGAGTTGTTTATGAATTAAATATGTTTATGGCATTTGCCTGTATTTGATAGAACAACAGTTTAGTAAAGCAAATGACACAGCGTTGCATGTTATGTGTCTTAACTACTAGAATAACCATTCAGTGTTTCTTAATTATACCTGAAGAGTTTGTCTTCTTAAAGAACAGCCAGTTCTTACACAGAGTACTAATGTAATTATGAACAGAACAACAGGAACATACTAAAGGCAGTGGAACTAATGCGGATGATGGAATTCAAAGTAACAGGTAAAATTTATTCATCACAAATTTCAAGACAAGATACTGACATTGGCACTTTTTAAAATCCCCCATTAGTGTCCAAATCCTGTCATTGCTTAGGCATCCTGTCTGTGTGACCTCTGGCAATTTGGTTAGGTTTCACGGTCATAACTGATTTATTCAGTGTGTCGGCATAATTTGTTTATGATCATCACATCATTCAATTCTAAATTCCTGTGGAGCTACGTAGACTTTTGGCAGTGAGGCCTTGAAGGCGGGGGTTTCTCCTCCCCTTTTTACTTTGAACACTGATCAAGAAAATTCTCCACAACTGTTATCTACATTTTCCACCCCTGTTTTCTTTCATTTTTGAATTCACTCACTTGGTTCCATAGTATTTTCTGCCCTGCATGCTCTCTCTTCTCCCTGTCTGTTTGTTTAGTCAGAGGATGATGTTGATACCACCTCGTTTGCCTTGCTTACTTTCAAATACTTTGGTTGTTCTCCATCTCCACTTTGTCATGGAGTGAATGTTGATACTTGATGCTCATAATCATTACCCTCCCACCTCACATGAATCATCATGAAACCTCCCATCCCATCCTTATATACTCCCTATGTTTCACTCTGTGTGCTGGGCTGCACACACTTTCTAGGCAGTTACATGATTTTTATGACAGCCCTGAATGTTTTAATGTGACATTATAATCTGATGCCACACACCTTTACACTGACATAAAATATGCTGGGTTTCTGTTGTAAGAACCTGCTGAAACAGAATGGAATGTGTAACACTTGTCCGGCTTCTGCTTTTGTTTCCACTGCCACCATGGAGGCATGTTCCAGGAGCTAAGTTTCAACACCCCTCTGGAGGCAGTATTAAATCAAGTTTGAGAAATGTGAGGCAGCAGGGGGTGGGTGCTCACAGGGCTGTCACCCATGATTGGGTCATCATGTCTCAGCTGTTATTATTACAAGCATGACATGTGAACATACAGCCACTGGTTTAGAGGTAAAACACAGAATTCAGCGAGCAGACTGGGCAAAGTGAAGACATCACATTTGTGTTCTGCTTGTTCAGCAGCAGTCTAAGCACCACATACAGTCTAAGTAATGTAGATTGTGATGCACTTTGTTGTTGTCCTGTGCTCAGCTGTGAGCGTGTGAAGAGCACAGCCCCGCCCTCATCTAAACAGAAACCATTATTGGCAAAATTCTGTGGAAAAGCAAAGCAGAATGAACTGAATCAGCCGGGTGACGGTTACGGGAAGCTCGGGGTGTACAGCTCATTGGGCTACAGTGGAAACCCAGCTATAAACATGTTAAAGTGGGGAGGTCAACAGACACATCTCTTGCTGTTTCCCAGGAAATTTTCAGTAAATGAGTCATTACCATCCATCATCACCCATTGTCAGAGGAAGATTTTATAGTCCTCTCCTAAATGATACCTGATGCAGTCAGTCATAAGTCAGACTTGGCAAGCATGTTGTTAAGTCTGTGGTAATGAGTAAGTGGCATGAATCCCTCTCTGTATCCCACTCTCTCTCTGTAACCTTTTCCTGTCACACCTTAATAGCTCTGAGTCTGCCTATGCATAATGATGGTCTGTTAGTGTTTATTGTCAACATTATACCGGGGGTGGATGAAAAGAACTAGGGAAAAACGTGATGCATGTTCACTGGGCAGTTACTGTACATATAGGACCATGCCCGCAGACACTGGGGCTAATGAGCTGAGAGGCTGTCTCCAGACCGAGGTCACATCCCAGGGTCAAAATATCACAGCCACTTTTTGAGTAATTCAGTTGTAGAGCTAAACCCCTGGTTCTGAACTGTTTTGTAACATGAATGCTTAGAGGTCATTTGCCACCTCTAACACAGAGATTATGACTGTTATTTTTGTTGAACGCCTACTGGAATATCAGGACAGTCAAATAAAGGAGCTGTTGTCCTTTTCCTCTCAGCCTGCTGAATCCCACAAAACCTCGACAACGCTGACGTGTCAGTAGCATTTCAGATATTTTTTTTTATTAATTTTTTTTTCTACATTTGCAGCCAAAGAAAGAAAGCTTGTGTGTGCATTTTGTTTTTGACCTACATGATACTGATGTCACATTCAAGTGGTGCTTTCTCTCATATATTTGTGGCAAACCTTCTCCTTCGCCCTCCTAACCCCACCAGTCTGCTCCTCCTCAACTTGTGGAGTTGTGTCCATGTTTGTTTCTGTGTAGCAGATGCTTCCTCGGGTCTCCTGCAATGCTGAACTGCATAAATAGTAGCAGATAATGTTGCATAACTGTTATCTGCCTGTACTGATTTTCATCCTTATTTATTGAAGTTACTAGTCAGTCTCAGTTGTACTCTGAGATTATAGGCCAGGTTATGTGTGGGTGTTTATACGTGTTTGATGCCCCTAGAGGAAGCATACCACTGATTTTAAAGTATTGGTAAGATAAAAAATAAAGCTGGCATACCAAGCAATCCTGGCAGCAGTCAGCAGCATCCAAATAGTGTCCTTTTCAGACATGCACTGGAACCCTGAATTTCTCTAGACATTACCCAGGGGGGGTGTATGTGAGAATGCAAATGTCCAAGTCATTCGACCTGGACCTTTACTCTGCCAACTGTCCACAGAATGTCCAAGTGAGCTGGAATGAGCCTGTGTGAGAATGTAGCAGCAGATAGTCCGGAGTATCCACACCGAGATAGAACGTCATCAACTCGTACACTATCGTGTAAGTGGCGCAAAACCAGAAGAATACAAACATCTGATGGTCGAAGACACCAACGAAAGTATCTAATTGGAGACGTGATAAGATTCAGGAACATCTGTCGTTAAGAGCCAGCGCCAGAATTGTCAGACAAGGCAAGAGTCTCTGTTGTATATAACCAAACTGCAAAGTGATTATGTGACTGCGTCATGTCCCGCCTCCTGCGCGCTCTACCCAGACACGTCCCCTGCGTATAAACCAGACGGAGCAGTAGTTTAGAACACATGTGACACAGACCATTTCCTGTTGTGTGCAGCATGTGTGAAAGGGCAACTCTGGACAAAGTCCAGGCCTGATTCCTGGACATGTGTGAAAATGGCTTTCAGTTACAGTGAGCCAGATTCACAAAACAGTATCGGTACCAACTACTGGACACCTATGGAGATTTCTCATTTAATTTTTCACTAGATTAATCCAAGTTAACATTATCTGTTAAAACAGTAATGTCTATTCAGGTTCAGAGTATTTTCATTGTTTCCCAACCACAGCTCCTTCCTCGCTGATGGGTCTCAGCAGTAAGTGAAAACAGTATGAACCTCCCTGAATAGAACGCTGGTATTGCTGTGTGTTCTGTTCATTCACTAGAACAATATATAGAGACCAGATGTGTGCATGTTCTTGGCTGAGACACCCAGCTGTGTTTGTAGAAATGGCTTCTGCTTTAACAGTCCTATCGACACCACAGGGAACCACAATCAACTTTGCCATCTAGTCTTCTTTGTCTGCTGTTTACAGACACTTGTGTTGTGGTTTAGCTTATGCATTTGCAGAAATAAGAGACATGCATGAACATTAATTCATTGCAAATCAGACAAAAACAAAAGAAATTGATTCAGTATATTTGTCTGCTAGGCACATTGCAAATGGATGCTGCCTTTGTAGATGTCCTGCTTCAGCTTACTGCAATAGTCTTTAATTATATAGCTCATACCAGCATTATAGAGTGGTTTCTTTGAACTGTTTTCTTTCTGCAGTAGAAACCTATGTGCCAAATATTGTGCCCAAACTTACATAGGCTGTTTCTTCTCTTCTGATATGGAAATGTGTCAAATACCCTGTAAGAAGGGTTTGACTGCCAGTTACTGTACTGTATATATTCAAGATGTAAGATGCCTTGTGTTTTGGTGATGACAGCCACAACTGGATGGTTCTCAAGCAGCTGAGTGTAGAAGTAACTTGAATCTGTTTCTCAAGAGTCCTGTTAACTGTTCAGTGGATTATGACATCCATAATACATGACAGGACCGCTTAGAGACAGGGCTAGACTCATGTCATCTCATACAAAGAGGTAAAGGAGGGGTATGTCAGTTTACATCTCTTGAGAGAAACACCACATAGGATTTTGACTTTGCCGCACCATGACTCAAATTTCTAAAAGATTTTTGTACCACAGGTGGCTGCAAATAAAAAGTAGGAGTTAGGTTTTTGCTCTTCATTGCTTTCTAGCAGCTAAACTCAGTGTGCCTAATATCATATTATAATTTACCAAGAATGCTGTAATTGCATTGTCTTGTAATCACCCATTTCGTTTTTGTGCATCAATTTTACCTGAAATAGGTACCATGAGTTGGCCATCCAGAAGAGCCTAAGGGACAACCTGAGCAACAAAACACTGATTGAATATCCTGTGTTGTTTGTTGTACTGAAAGATCACTGGAAGGAATATCCACTGAAAGGACCAGGTAAATGTTAATATGTATGAATTGATATGAATTGAATTTCCTTACTCCTGTCCTTGAGCAGCGGCACTAACCTACTGATGCATTATTAGCAAAGCATTATTTCTTCATCACAATATTCAGCTTCCTTTTCACTTTACAGCTATGTTTTCTATAACTAAACAAAAGGCTGGATATATGATATGAGTCCTAAAATGCCAACCACAATTCCAGCAGCATTGTATCATGTCCACATTTCTTCAGCTAAGACTGTAAGACTCCCTGTTCCCTTATTTTTCACTATAGCAACATGCTACCCCAATGGAAATTAGTGTGTTCTGCAAAGCATCACATACACCAGCTTAACCTCAGCAGAGACTGTGGCCAAAAAGAGGCTCAAACATGGCTTACTGTAAACGATGACCTCATGAGTTGTGGAATGACAGAAGATGAGAAAGGGAGATCAGCCTGTATGTTTGCTCACCTGTTTGTCAGTGTCTGGTGTTGAGTGCCGAGAATCATGACAAAGTAGGATTGTATACAGCGATTTGGTCCTACTCAATGTGCTAAGTGTCGCCAAACGGTGTCTATCTCAGGGGGGTTAGCATGGCCACAAAAGACCACACTAACCCAGCATCAGACAGACTGAATGACGAATGAGCTAATTTTAGTCTGAGTATGTGTGTTTTCAGCGATAAGGCCTTGGTGCCTCACTGTTTTGCTATGATGTTACTCATAGAAACATCCTGATAATTGCACATGCCATGGCCTGGGAAGCTGGGCAGGAAGTGATAACAAGCAATTGGACACTGTGGCAGCAGTGTATCCAGTGAGGATAAAGTAATGTTAAGAGTCTAGCAGGCCTCACACAGGCAGCATGCAGCTGGTCAGTGTACTGGTTCAAACTACATTCAGCCAGTAGAAATTTTATATGTATGGCCTCAGTGACCCTGAGCCAGCACCTCTGTAATAACATTTCACTTGCTCCTATTGGGTTTATTTTTTTAATAATGATGTTTTAATGCCACATTTAGTGTTGTATTCGAGTACAGAACTTGAGTTCAAGTCCGACTCGAGTCCAGTGAAGGCATCTGCTCTAGTCTGATCCCTGGAATACGGGTACAGATATCTTCTGAAGCAAGAAGACTGTGTTGGCCATGCATATACAGTGGGTACGGAAAGTATTCAGACCCCCTTAAATTTTTCACTCTTTGTTATATTGCAGCCATGTGCTAAAATCATTTAAGTCCATTTTTTCCCTCATTAATGTACACACAGCACCCCATATTGACAGAAAAACACAGAATTTTTGACATTTTTGCAGATTTATTAAAAAAGAAAAACTGAAATATCACATGGTCATAAGTATTCAGACCCTTTGCTCAGTATTTAGTAGAAGCACC